GTCATGAGACAAAGTATATGTGAACTGCTGTATGGAAAGTGAATTTGCTCTGTAAATCTTCACCCAAATCACAATAAAAAAATTAAATAAATAATCTATGTGAGAAAACAAAATCCAAATAGTGGCTGCCTGTATGAGAATTGAAAAGGCAAGAGGGAACTTCCTGAGGGATGGGAAGATTCTACATCTCCACAGGGTTTGGGTCAAACCCAAAATTCAGTGACTGTACATTTAAAATTTATATATTTAATGTAGATTTTACATCAAAAGGAAAAAAAACAATATTGATATGCATACTGAAGTACTCAGGGGTATCAGGGGTAAGTATACTGTGTCTGCAGTTTTCTCTGAAATGTACAAAACAAGACAATGAAACAGAATGATAGACGGATGGGTAATGTTGATAAATACAGGTGGTGAGTATATAGGCACAGACTCTTAAAATTCTTTCAACTTGGTTGTATGTTTGAAAATTTTCATGATAAAACATTTGGGGAGAAGTGAATGGTGGGCAGCACCAAAAGAGCAAACAGAGGCAAGACTGCAGGCACTGGCTGCCAAATGCTTTCAAATGCCCAGCAATCCCATTGGGGGAAGACAAACTCACCTTATCTTTATAAGTATCAGGCAGTGACTTGGCTGTTTCTGTGTCTTCAGGAAGATTGATATAAAATCCCAGGATGTCTCCCTGTCCATAACCAGAAGAGTAGTGTTTGCCAATGGACTGGTGGAATTTGGTTCCCTTTTTGCTTCGCCAAGAATAGCTAAATTTATCATAACCTAAGGGAGCTTGAAGGTTACCTGTCCCAATAAAAGGATAGGCAGGAAGTTAGAGGATTACAAGTCAATTCTGAATCACTAAAGGAAAAGATTTTGCTCCTTTTTATTTTGTCAATTTTGTAAAAGTGCTAACCAACTATTTCTCATAAGCAAAGAATTATAAAAATATCCCTAGGAATTACAAGCCAGCTAACTTCCCAGGAACTGAATTTTCTGCCCATTATCCTATAATCTCAAAGTCTTAATGCCTTAGTCAGATATACTATATCTCTATCTGCTGTAATATCCACATCATGGCCCCAGCTTACCTAAGGGCTGGGACCAACCCAGTCTAGCAGCAGTGTCTGGGGGCATCTCATCCACAGTGATTTCAAAGTACCAGGCACCTTTCCGTACCCCATGAGAGGCCCGCACCATAGAGTAGCCCTTCTCTCCAACCACAGTCAGTCGGTCATCGGAGATCTTGAGCTGGGGAGCTGTAGTAGTGGACATTAAAACAGCCCTGCAACTTATCTGAGGCACTTGGAGACAACTGCCACAAAAACATTAGGCCCTTAGGCTACAGTAAAAGCAAAATAAAAAATCAGAAATATGAGGTCAGGAGTTTAAAAATCTCAACAGAAGATACAGACAAAGGAAAGGAAGAAAAAGGGAAGAAAGCTGTTAGGTCATTTTATAAGTAATAGGTTAAAATTAATTGTACTGCATATTCCCTACAACACATAATTGTAATGTGTATGGTTCTTGATTTAAACAATGTTTAATAAGATTTAGCTTTCTATTTTCAAACAATTTCAGACTTTCAAATTTGAGTTCCCACATATTTAGCTTCTCCATGTTATCATCATCTATAACCATAATGTAATAATCAAACTCAGAAAATGAACATTAATACAACACTATTAACTAATCTATAGACCATATTCAAATGAAACCAATGATCCAAATAATATCATTTTCCTGGTCCAAGAACCAATCCAGCATCTAATCCACTGCATTAGTTGTCATGTCTAATTAGCCTCTTCCAATCTGGGTATTTCCTCAGCCTTTGTCTTTCATGGCCCTCAACTCAGTACTGGTCCCTTAATTTGCAGAATGTAATTCAATTAGGTTTGTCTGGTATTTGCTTATGACTTTTCAGATGTAGAACACCAGAATTTTTTTTCTTTTCACAACATATTTTATAACATGAAAAATGCTCATCATAAAATGTTACTTGGAAAAGGATAAAAAAATCTTATGTCTATGAATCCAATTTTTAAAAAAGTTTTTATTGTGATTTGGGTGAAAGTTTACAGAGCAAATTCATTTTCCATACAGCAGTTCATACACATTTTTGCTTCATGACAGACTGTAATCTCCACAATGTTAACAGCTCTCTTCCCACTTCCTCCCTGTGTCCTTACCTCTTACCCATGTCCTTCTTCTCTATGCATTCCTGCCCTCTGAGCTATGTTCCTGTGCAACTACTGCCCTTCTTATCTCCCATGATTGAGTGTTCTAAGGAGTATACCTACCTGGTGTAAATGTTCATCCCATATGCCTATTGCTTGGCTGGAAGCCACAGAAGTGAGTTCATTTCCAGGCCTGAAGGGTAATTACAGATCGTAGTCTCAGGGGTTTCAGCAGTCTCTATCAGGCCAGTAAAAACCTGGTCTTTTTATGATTTTGACTTTCATTCCACATTGTTCTCCCACTCTATCCAGGATCGCCTGCACTGATCCCTTCCCAGTGGTTGACAGTGCTAGCAGGCACCATCTAGTTCTTTGGTCTCATGGTCAGGTTGGCTGAGGTCTACATGGTCCACTAGTCCCTTGGACTAATCGTTTCCATGTGTCTTTGGGTTTTTTCATTCTTTTTTGCTCCAGATGAGGAGAGACCAATTGTTGGATCTAGATGGCCACTTGCAAGCTTTTAAGATCCCAATTGCTACTCACCACAGTAGGATATAGAACAATGATTCTGTGTAGTATGTTATGCTAATTGAGTTTGATGTTCCCCACGACCATGGTCCTAAGCCTACAGGTCCAACAACTTGCTCCATCAGGGTGTTTGGCTATGGCTAAGAAGTTATTATAACTTTACCACCTGTTAGTTCTATTTATATGGACATTCTTACAGCACATATATAGAAATATCATCTGCCAACCTTATATATGGTCATGGGTATACTCCCTTTTGCCTAGACATATCTGATCATTCAGCCTCAAACTTTTCTTTTGAGGCAGCCAGACCACATAGCCAGACCGCAGCCAGCCAAGCCACTCCTTGGAAGGAAGACTGGGCAATCTACTTCCATAGAAATATTGCCTCGGAAACCCAAGGAAGGGGTCGCTATGAGCTGCTCCTAGATTCCTGATCCCCAATACTGTGTGGAAATTTGTTATACAACAGTAGATAATTAACCACAAGGTGATTGTCCCTGTTTGTAAAAAATACACACTAAAAGACTTAAGGTTGATTGGGCATCTTGGCAACTTACTCTCAAATGTATCAGAAAAAAAAGTTTTGTACTATTAGTTTTTTCTGTAAGTTTGAGACGGTTTTAAAATAAAAAGTTAAAAAGATACAATACAGATTTATCATCAATTTTTAGCAAGCCCACAGAAGACTATACTACTGCTACTTTTGCTACTCTGTGTATTGATTTCCAGTAAGTTCCTGTTAAAGGCTGTACTTTTCTCACATGTGTCTGCTTCTCCTCCTCCACCCGTTACAGCTATTAAGTGTAGCAAAATCAGACAAGTGTCACATCTTATAGCTTGAAGTCACTTAAATGGAATCTGAGATAGCAGTATTAACTCAGTATTACTTTTTTTTTTTAATTTTTATTTTGATTTGGGTGAAGATTTACAGAGTAAATTCACTTTTCATACAGCAGTTCACATATACTTTGTCTCATGTCATTGACCAAAATTTAC